TGCCAACCTAGCAGTTCAAAAGCATGTAAAAAATGCAAGTAGAAAAATAGGGACCACATTTGGTGGGAAGGAAACAGAGTTCCATGCGCCTCCGGCGTTGAGTCATGCCGGCCACATGACCACGGAGACGTCTTCGGACAGCGCTGGCTCTTCGGCTTTGAAACGGAGAGGAGCACCGCCCCCTAGAGTCGGGAACGGCTAGCACCGATGTGCGAGGGGAACCGTTACCTTTTACCTTATAGAATAAAAGAGTTGGAAGGGACCTTGGAGGTCTTCTAGTCCAACCCCTAGTCATGCAGGAGACCTAGATCATTTCAATCAATCAATCAGGATAAAGCTGGAAGGGACCTTGGAGGTCTTCTAGTCCAACCCCCTGCTCAAGCAGAGATCCCAGACCATTTCAATCAATCAGTCAATCTGAATAAAGCTGGAAGGGACCTTGGAGGTCTTCTAGTCCAACCCCCTGCTCAAGGAGGAAACCCTAGACCATTTCAGACAAATGGATGTCCAATCTCTTCTTAAAAGCCTCCAGTGATGGAGAACCCACAACCTCTGGTAGCAAGTTGTTCCACTGGTGAATTGTCCTCACCGTCAGGAAGTTTCTCCTTCATTCCTCTTCTTGATTAGTTTCCATCCATTGCTTCTTGTCCTGCCTTCAGATAAAGTCAGGAAATGTTTCATATGTCACTGCATCCCCCATCTAGATCGAAGGGGTCATTTCAGTTCAGGCGGTCTCTTCTCTCTTTTGGATCTTCATCGATCGGCTTCCCAAATCAAAATATTTGGCTCCCTCTCTTTAGACTCAGCAGGATCAAAAGCCGGCTCTGTAAAAACAGCCATCTCCGCCCGTAGAAATCTAGCATGTCAGGGAGATGATGGGCTTAGCTTTCCGACGGAGAAGAAGCAAAGTGGATTAAAAAAAAGAAAAAGAAAAAAGAATGGATAAGTGATGGAAAGAATTCATAGATTAACAGGCCAAGAAGTGTAAATGTGTGAACGCAGCAATTTGAAGTGCCAGATAGAAAAATGACATCATACTCGTACATATATATTTTCTTTGCAAGCCAACATTTAGCAAAGTGGCTGAAATATATGGCTAGAGATATTTCTATTTGCTGGCTGGCATTTAATATATATATATTTTAGATTTATTAACAACATTCTGAACTGGTCAAACTTTGCTCAGATTATACAACCCTTTTTCTAGATATAGGAATTAAATATGATAAATATCTCCGCTTAAGGTTTCAAATATATTCTTCCTATCCGTGACTAAATTCTGTTTCTCTTTTCTTATTTTGAGTTCCCCTTTTTAAACTTGGGATGCTTTATTGATTCCCACCCACCCTGGCAATGAGCTAAGGTGGATCCTAAACTTTAAATGTTAAATTTAGTCGATCGCTTTTCTCTCTCTTTTTTTTGTACGCTTTTGTTGTTGTTGTTAGGGTTGAATACACACTTTTGTTTCATTTTGTTTTTCTGTTTTGTATTTTACACTTTGTGATAAAACAATTAATATATTAAAAGAGAGAGAGAGAGAGAGAGAGAGAGCGAAAGAGAGAGCGAAAGAGAGAGCGA